GCGAGTCAACAATCATTGCGTGGTCCAGAGTTCGGTCCCTGACCCAGGCCCAATCATTCACTGCCCATCGTGCTGGCAGTATGCGACCAGCCCCATGCAGAGAGGTCTCACAGGCACCTGTAAGGGACCGAGGAAGATCTCGGGAGGGTTGGCGCATACACAGCCAGGAAAGAGGCCAAAGGAAGGTTTTCACCCTGTCTTTTTTTCCCCCCTCGTGGCGCTCGGGGCCTCGTCGGCCCCGACGGATGAGACTCGGGCCCGTTTCTCGAAACACTTCGGGAAGGCCCCTTGTTGGGGCTGCGGAGGTTCTCAGGGCGCCGAGGGATGTTCCGTTTTCGAAGCAGCCCGTGGCCCCGCGCCTCAGGCTGAATTCTGCGTGCGAGGGAGCGGAGGTGCTCGGTCGACAGGTGCTCATGTGCCGAGCCGAAGCCCAGGCCCGACGAGCGGCTAGAGCCGTTGACCCCGTGGCCGAGGGCTAATTTCGCTGGGTGGGGGGCCCTGTCGGCTGGACCCGCCCGAGGTGGGGCGCAGCCTCGGGCGGGGACAAACAGTTCTCAGCTGATGGACCTCCCGCCCCAATTTTCCTTTCTCCTCCCTTGACTCTTCCCTTTATGGTCGGTGAACCTCCTCCTCCTCCTCCTCCTCCTCCTCCTCCTCCTCCTCCTCCTCCCCTTCTACCTCCCTTCCTCCCTCCACACTTACACAATATGAGTACTACCCTCCTGTCTCCCCTGATGACGTCCAGAAGATATCCGGCCACCCTCCGCGTTTTTTTTTACACAGGATTCCTGGGAAACTTGTTTTCGAACGGCTTTTTTGTTCAAAATGTTGCTCCCGCTGAAGCGCTGGCCTCATTTTCGGACTTCCGCTCGTTTCGAATCGTGTTCCCGCTGCAGCGGTGGCCTCATTTCCGCGCTTCCGCTCGTTCCGAATCGTGCTTCCGCTGCAGCGCTGGCCTTCCTTAAAAATAGGTCCCGAAATCAAGGAAACACCCCCTCGAAGAAACCATCGGAAGTGATTACCCAGTCGGTGCCGATTCGCTGATTTTTTTTGGCTGCAGAAGCCCCCCTCCCCCCACTTTGGGGCGTCTTCGCTATCAGGAAGTATCAAGCCGGAGCCCCGTTTCTGCTTTGAGAAGGTGATCTTGAGAGCAGAGCCAGCGGGTGCTCTCCATCAGCTCCGCCTTGTGTGGAGTTTTTCGGGGGGACCAAGGAGCTTGACAGGGAGCCACGACTCCAGACCAGCCCAGACCTTTCGAAGACGACCCACTTAGCCTCCAAAAAACCTTGTGCCATGCTATGACATGCTGTGCGGTGCTGTGTCCTGCACCGCGGTGAGATGCCATGCTTTGCGTTGCAATTCTTTGTGATGCAATGCTTCACTGCGCAATGCCACGCCATGCTATGGCATGCTACGCTCTGCCGTGCTCTTTTATGCCATGCCATGCCGTGCTATACCATGCATCGCGTACCCTCTCGCGATCATTGCCCTGCTCGACATCCGGTTGTGCGAATAGAGGGGAAATCTACGCCAGGGATAGGAGGAAGGGGTAGGACGTCGGATATGACGCGAGCGCGCCCAGCTTGTCCCCTCCTCCTCTCCTCACCATGTTATCCCCTTCTTCCCCTCTAATTCCCCCCCTGCTCCTCCTCCTCCTCGTCCTCCTCCTCCTCCTCCTCCTCCTCCTCCTCCTTTTCTTTTTCCTCATAGATGACTCGTCCCTGTCGCGCCCCGAGGCCGGTCGAAAGGGAGGGCCGGGCGTTTCGTCTGAGACCCCCTCACCGCTTATGGCCCTGATGATGAGACATTGACAGCAGCTCCAAATATAGAGGGCAGGCCTTTTTCAAAATGTGGCTCTCGCCTTAGCGCCGCGTCCATTCGTTCCAAAAACTTTGCAAGCGTTTCACGTATCGAGGAGGAGGAGGATGAGGAGGAGGATGAGGAGGAGGAGGAGAAGAAGGAGGAGGAGCAGCAGGAGGAGGAGGAGGAGGAGGAGGAGGAGGATGAGGAGGAGGAGGAGGAGGAGGAGTGTATGTGTGTGTGTGTGTGTGTATTGTGTGTGTTTGTGTGTGTGCGCGCGTGTCTGTGTGTGTGTGTGTGTGTGCGGGATGCGTCTTTTCTGCTCGCTCCCGGGAATTCGCTGGGTTCAGCTCATGCTCTGCCTCTTACCATCGGTTTAGCTTGCTTACTGTTCCGTTTCACGGCATCGATAGTTGCTTTTCTTGGATGCGGACAGCAACGGACTCTGATGCATGAGATCGACTGGTTAATTGCCTAAGCGATCAGCGAACGCGACAGTGTGTCTGTGTGTGTGTGTGTGTGTCTGTGTGTGTTTTTGTGTGAGTGTGTGTGTGTGTGTGTGTGTTTGTGTGTGCGTGCGTTCGTGCGTGCGTGCGTGCGTGCGTGCGTGCGTGTGTGTGTGTGTGTGTGTGTGTGTGTGTGTGTGTGTGTGTTGTGTGTGTGTGTGTGTCTGTGTGTGTGTGTGTTTGTGTGTGTGTGTGTGTGTGTGTGTGTGTGTGTCTGGCGTGTGTGCGTTGTGTGCGCGCGTGTGTGTGTGTGTGTGTGTGTGTGTGTGTGTGTGTGTGTGTGTGTGCGTGCGTGCGTGTGTGTGTGTGTGTGTGTGTGTGTGTGTGTGTGTGTGCGCGCTTGGTTTTTTTCCCCTATGGGTAGATTCGGCTTCTCCATGCTGCGTGAGCTTGCCCGGCCCGCGCGCGTCCGCTTGACTTGACCTACGCCGCGCGGCCGCGTGCGTAGCCGCGACGCCATATGTGTATGTATGTAGGTAGGTAGGTCGGTCGGTCGGTCGGTCGGTCGGTAGGTAGGTAGGTATGTATAGTTGCGTGCATGCATCATGCATGCATGCATGCATGCATGCATGCATGTATGTATGTATGTATGTATGTATGTATGTATGTATGTATGTATGTATGTATGCATGCATTCATGCATGCATGCATGCATGCATGCATGCATGCATGCATGTATGTATGTATGTATGTATGTATGTATGTATGTATGTATGTATGTATGTATACATTTCTGTATGTATGCATGTATATATGTTTACATATACACATGCAGGTATGTGCTTGATTTGTTTTGATGTGTTTTGTTTTGGTGTGTTGTATTCGTTTGTTTGTTTGTTTGTTTGTTTGTTTTTGTTTGTTTGTGTGTGTGTGTGCGTGCGTGCTGCGATCCACTGTGGTCCCGCGTCTGAGGGCCCGGCCGCGCGCGCCTGCACCGTGCCGTTCGCTGGACTTGCTCCGCCTCGCCGCGGCGCGCGAGGCCGCCACCGCTCAAGAGTGCGCGCGCGAGGGGCTCCCCGTGCGTGGGCCGCGCAGGTGTGGGCGCCCACTCCTTCGACCGGAAGAGGTGCGCTCTCGACCCGCGGATCAAAAAAGTGTGGGCGCCCAGGCGGCCGCCCTCCCAGCGGGCACCCCGTCTCCCCGCGCCGCACTGGCCGCCCGCCTCCGCAGGCAGGAGGCCGCGCTCAACCCCACCGTGGCAGAGCCGGCCACGCCCGCGCCGGAGGCGGTCGCCTGAGGGGACGCCCCCGCGGGGCGCCCAGGTCGTGGCATTTTGGGGCTGCCCTTGGCTCCCCCTCCTCCTGCTCCTCCTCGGCCTCCGCTTCCTCAGGCCCCTCTCTCCTCCTCCTCCTCCTCCTCCTCCTCCTCCTCCTCCTCCTCCTCCTCCTACTCACTCCTCCTTTTTTTCCTGCCTCCTCCTCGTGCATGGTGGTCGCTCGTTGCTATGCCTGTCACATTTCGAACGCGTCCGTCCGTCTTCCTCCTCTCCTCGTCTTCCTCCTCCCCCTCCTCTCACTCAAATAGAGAGGTCCGCCGCTGTTTTGGCCCGACGTCGACGCCATCTCTACTTACTGGTATGAAATAGCAAACTCCGCACTACAGTCTCATTGCGCCCCGCTTTCTTCATGGCGTTCCCCCACCCCCCCCCGCGTAGTTCTAGTTCCTCCTCTCCTCCTCCTCCTCCTCCTTCCTCCTCCTGGTTGCTCGTTGCTAATAGCCTGAGGGTTCTTCGAACGCGGCCTCCGTCCTCCTCCTCCTCCGCCTCCTCCTCCTCCTCCTCCTCCTCCTCCTCCTCACTCTAATAGGAGAGGTCGCCGCTGTTTGGCCCGAGCGTCAACGCATCTCTACTCACTGTATGAAGAGTAAGAGCTCCGCAATCTACATCCTATGGGCACCCCTTGTCTTTTGCAGTGGGCGCCTTTAGCTTGTGGATGTGGCGTCTCACCACCTTTCTCGTGCGGGTGTGGCGTCTCACCACCTTTCTCGCACTCCTTGTCAGGCTTCACGTCCTTTGGCCTGAGCCTCTTTGTTCTTTGACCTGTGCTCCGCTTGTTCTCCTGCGTGGACTCTCGGATGAAGCCAGGCGGACGTGGTTGCCCACCTTTCGCGTCTGCCTCCTTGGCATCTGCAGGCTGCTCGTGCGGATGTGGCGCCTCACCACCTTTCGCGCACGGAGCCTTCCAGAGGTCTTCGCTGCTAGCATGGTCGTGGGGGGTGTGCGGGTGTGGCGTCTCACCACCTTTCTCGCACTCCTTGTCAGGCTTCACGTCCTTTGACCTGAGCCCCTTTGTTCTTTGGCCTGTGCCCCTCATGTTCTCCTGCGTGGGCTCTGTGATGACGCCAGACGGATGTGATTGCCCACCTTTCGCGTCTGTCATCCTTGGCATCTGCAGGCTGCTCGTGCGGATGTGGCGCCTCACCGCCTTTCGCGCACGGTGCCTTCCAGAGGTCTTCGCTGCTGTCATGGTCGTGGGGGGTGGACAGTCGATGGGTTGGGTCGTGGTCGGTGTTTGACTGGGTTGGGCGTGGGGCTGAGGGTCGCACGTCATGGCCTCCATGCACCGACTTCAAGTGGGATTCGCCGCGGTCCCACCTCGTCCCGCTATGGCTAGGGGTCACGGTGCCCTCGGTGGGGGCGAACCCCAGGCATTGTGTTTGGTTGTGTTGTGCTGGGCTGAGTCGCATCTGCCCTGTGCTCCGCCTGGTCGGTGTTCGGGTGAGCTCCTCCTCCATCATGGGGATGGTGGGGGTGGCGAGCTAGGGCGGACCGCGGGGGCGCGGGTGGTGGCCGTCCCACCCCCCCATGCCCCTCACCATCCCCCCCTGGCGGGCGCAGGCAGTACTCGTCCTGCCCCCCCGCCCTTCGAGCACGTCTCGAAGTTTGATCCTTGCCTCTCCAGGGCGTCCGCGACTGGGTCTGTTGGCTGGTGCTGGGTTGGGTGGGTGATGGGCGTTAGTGGTGGTCGGCTTGCGTGGGGAGCGTCCGCTTACGTGGCGACTTGAGCCTGAGGTGTTCCCACGCATTCGGGGCTTCCTCAGAACTTTGTGTCCTAACACCTACAGCTCGACGCGGCGACGTTGCCTGGGGTGTTCCCTCGCATTCGGGGCTTCCCCAGGACTTTGCGTACTGACGCCGCGATGTGTACAAGCCATGCTTTGGTTGTGTAGAACTTGCGTTTGTCGTGGCAGTACGTCTTGGCTGCTGTGGGCGTGGGAAGCTAGTAAAGGCATGTGGTGGTGGGTGAACGGCGTGCTGGTGTTCCGTGTGTCGGCATGCTGTGTCAGGGTAGGGAAGCAGGTGTCCAGGGAGGTATTATGGGCTGCCTGATGTGCCTTGGCTGCCAGCTGCGATGCTGTTGGTTTGGTCGAGTGCTAGTTCGTGGAGTAGTAGCTGTCGTTGCTGTTGTGATGATTGGTCGGGTAGTGTATCGCATGTTGGTCGGTGGGCCGTATGCGGTGGTGGGTCGGTTGCTTGTTGTTGTGCTGGTGGTTGTCGGTTGGTGCTGCTAGTGTGTAATGTGAGGCGTCGGAAGAGAGACCCTGCTGCGAGTTCAGATTGTCCGCTCCAGCCCTCACGGCCTCATTGAACAGAGGCTCGTGTGTATAGGTGCAATGAGCATGCCGTCAAGATCGTAGCAAGGTGGTCAGGGATGGGGTGAGGGGGTCGAAGGAGGTGGCTGCTAGTTGAGTCGGGTCGTTTGTGGTTGTGGTGGCGGCGGTGGGTGCCAGGCGTCAGCCTTGGCCCATTCTCGAGCCTCGTGTAGGTCGAGGTTCTTGATGGTTCGTTTGGGGTGAGTGCTGTGATGGTCGCTGCGCATCTCGTGTGTCAGGTACGGATCGAGTGGCTGGTAGAAGTGTAGGCAGTCGGGCTCGATCTGCCCGTGTCGGTCAGCTGGGATCGTGGCAAATCTCTGAGCCACTTGGGTGGCTAGGGCTTCCGCTATCGCTTGGCACATCACGGGCGGGTATTTCTTCTCGGCATTTGTGTTCCAGCTTCCCTGCTCGTCCACGCCTGCGAGCTCCTGGTGGTGGCGTGTGGTGTGAGAGCATCTTCCAGCGTCTGGGAGGCTTCGGAAGCGTTCGCGCAGTGCGGGAATGCTACCGCTAGGAGAGTGGTGTTCTTCTTAGATGGTGCTCCGCAGGTGCACTGGTCGAACGTGATGGTGTCGACATTGGGTTGAGCTGCTAAGTGGGCCGTCTCAGGCAGCCGCCAACTGCTGGGCATGTGCTGCTCTCGCGGTTCGGCAGGATGCTCTAGAAGCCCAGATATGTCGTACACTGCGCAGGCGTAGAGGAACTCGAGCTGTGTGCGATCTAGTCGATTGCCCAGTCTGACTTGCTCTGCTTCTGGCCTTCGAAGATGCCGAAGGCCCCAGAGTTGAGTTCCCGAACGGAGTGGCCGCGGCGGCCTGCCTCTACACTGATTGGGTGGTAGGTGGCGTGCACGTGACCACCTTTCGCACGGCGGCCCTCCCAGCACCGCCGCGACCCGTCCTTCTTTGAGCATGTGCCTCCACATAGCCACGGACGTCTCGTTAGTTAAGTCGCCGAAGATCTCGTCGTTGGCGACGTCCAATGACAATACATATGCCGAGTGGCTGCTGACTACCGGTAGTTGTTCGTACCAGAATTGTATGTCCGATAGCCGCCGTCGCCCACTGAACAGGTGCAGGATGTACATGGTAGATGTCTGCGTGCAGGATGTACATGGTAGATGCCTGCGGTGGGCGCGGGACCTGAGCGATGGGCGGCGGTGGGTCGCTGTAGCACGGGATGTCCATGCTGGTGTTGTCGTCCGAGGGGTCGCTGTCGTCGTCAAGCTCTGGTGGTTGGACTTGTTGGAATGGTCGCTCGGCCCAGTCGCTGGGTCGTCCCGCTTGTCGGTTCTGTTGTTGCTGCTGTCGGATCGCCTGCTGATCGATTTCACGCTGATCTGGCAATGGTGTCGGCAGCGGTCTCCGCATGTGGGCGGCACAGCGCTTGACCTTCAGGCCACGTCCTCCTCCTCCTCCTCCTCCTCCTCCTCCTGCTCCTCCTTCTCTTCCTCACTCAAATCGGAGATGTCGCCGCTGTTTGGCCGGAGCGTCGACGCTTCTCTACTTACTGTATGAAGAGAAGAAGCTCCGCAATATGCATCGTATTGCCGCCAATCTTTCTGTCGTGCAGTTTCCCCCGCCTGCAGTTCTAGTTTCTC